TGATCATCTAGGTGTTCTATTGGTTGTGAATCATTATCCTTTGATGATCCTAACTTGAGGCTTGCTTTCGGGTGTTCTGGTCTGCAGGGACCTGCTCGTGAAAAGGAGAAACGGGAGAAAGAGAGGAGTGAGCTTCGTGACCTTGTAATATGTCTTTATTACAGCTGGTAACATTGTTCTGAAAGTGCCTACCATTCGATTTGTACTGATGGAAGCGTGCGTTCCTCACATATCAGGTTGGAAAGAACCTTCATGTGCTGAGCCAGTTAGAAGGTGTAGACCTTGAGATGTACAGGGATACAGTTCTTCCTAGAGTCTTAGAGCAGGTAAAATATTATATCCAATAAACACACATACATAACGTATTCCCTAGGAAAAAGCTGATTTTGTCTGATGATTTCTCAGATAGTGAACTGCCGAGATGAGATTGCCCAATATTACCTAATGGATTGTATCATACAAGTTTTTCCCGACGAGTATCACTTGCAGACTCTTGATATACTTCTTGGGGCGTGTCCACAACTTCAGGTAGTCTCAAATTCTCAATAGCCCCTTCATAGCTGGAAATTTGGCTGTATTAGACAAGAAATTCTGCATGGTCCTTCAATATAGATTAGTTTCAACTGCATTTTCGGATTTTGCATGTAAGAAGTTCACTAATCTCCTGTATTTCTCACTTTCTTTCTTCTCAGCCATCGGTTGACATTATGACAGTGCTTTCGCGTTTAATGGAGAGGCTGTCAAGTTATGCTGCCTTAAATACTGAAGTGTTACCTTATTTCCTGCAAGTGGAAGCTTTCTCAAAGTTGAATAATGCAATTGGAAAGGTAACATTTATGTTAGGCTGCTATCGACTTTTTGGGTATGTGCGGTTGCAGTTTGGTTTCTGTAAAGAGGAGGAAAGTAATGCTAGCTTAGAAATCCTTATGACCTGACTTGTTATTATCATGGAAAGCATGGAGAAGGCGAGAGTATTTTGTTGCTTGATTTTTCTTTCTTAATTTCACTTTAGATGCTTCCATCAGCGTGTAGATTGTAGAAACGTGCAGTATCCTTCATGTGTTGGATGTATTCGCTGCAAAATATGACCTTTTCTGCCTTTTTGTTCCACTTCTGAAATTACGTGGTTTCTGGAAATACTATGATGTTGCAGGTGATAGAAGCACAAGAAGACATGCCAATTCTGAGTGCAGTAACCCTATATTCTTCGCTTCTCAAGTTTACTCTTCATGTTCACCCTGATAGGCTTGATTATGCGGACCAAGTGTTGGTCAGTTTTCTTTTCTCTGCTTAAGCCAAGTTTAAATACGTATTATCTTTTCAGCGGTGCTTAATGGCTCTCTAAATTTCATTATTTAGATAAAACTTTTCTTTCTATCATCGCCAAAAGATTAACAAATTCATGATACCTGTGTCAGGAGATAGCCCATCTTTATATATAAAAAACTGGAATCAGCTGTTTTCGTATTTTTCTATTATATGTATGTGCTTTATATACAAGTTACCTTTTCAGAAAATTTCATGCTAAATGTTCTACTGGAATAAGATAAACTGGATGGAATAGTGTGAAATTGATGTTCTCCACTTTCTCTCCGTAGGGATCATGTATTAAGCAACTCTCTGGAAAAGGAAAGATTCATGACACCCGTGCGACAAAGGAGCTTGTCACCCTTTTAAGTGCTCCTCTAGAGAAGTATAACGATGTTGTTATCGCCCTTAAACTAACAAACTATCCCCTTGTATTAGAGTACCTTGATAGCGAGAACAAGAGAGTAATGGCTACTGTTATAATTCGAAGCGTTATGAACAACAAGACTATTATTGCTACAGCAGAGAAGGTAGGATACCTTTGCGCACTTGCTTTTTTGGTTGAACCATTTGTGTGGTAAAATTTAATTGCTTTGTCTTGTGTACCTTTGGTAGGTTGAAGCATTGCTTGAACTGATCAAAGGACTTATCAGTGACCTGGATGAGCCGCAAGGTCTTGAGGTTGTTATAAGCATTTAGTGATACTTTCCATCTTGTGCTTCAACACTTGTTCTCTCATTTACTTGTGGATTACAAAAAAAAACAGAGATTCAGGACCCAAAGGAAAGTTGAATTTTGACTTTTGAACCTATCTTTCTACGCTTTTAGGTTGATGAAGATGACTTTAAGGAGGAGCAAAATTCTGTTGCGCGTCTCATTCAGATGTTATATAGTGATGATCCGGAAGAGATGTTTAAGGTGCATGAATCTCTTGCACATTCAGATTAACTATCATCTCTTTATTTTGACATTAGGCTTTCCAGTTATTGGCTTGTTTATGTTCTAGGGTGTCAGTTTTGTTGCATTCATTCATTCGCAGTTGCTTCTATTCTTGTTTGTAATATACCTAGTTGGTCATAGACTGTACTTAAACATTGTTTTAAGGGTTTGGCGTTCAGTCTTTGAAGTTGTTCAACTGAATTTCAGATTATCAGTGTTCTGAAGAAGCATTTCCTGACAGGCGGGCCAAAGCGCTTAAAGTTCACAATTCCTGCCCTTGTTGTTTCTGCTCTGAAGGTTTGATTTCTTAAATGAAGTTATTGAAAATGTATAGCTTGAAGTCTTGTGATGCCAATTTTTAAATGGGGCCTCAGAGTTGTATGTTGAGTTTGGCCAATGACATGGATTTGATGTTTCTTTTTATTTGTTATACCGCATAGAAGTAAGTATATCTGCTGTAGTTTGTGGGATTTTTCTTCCTAATTGTTTCTGTCCTCTATTTTGTTTTTAATTGTAGCTAATCAGGAGGTTGCCAGAAGAAGGAGACAATCCTTTCGGAAAAGAGGCTTCGGTGTCTGCCACTAAAATCTTCCAATTTCTAAATCAGGTAAGTTTTCATATGTTCACATACATAGGGGTGTCATTTCTGTTTTTTTCTAGGTAGAACCCACACAGTTTTTGAAGATTTAGCAAGGGGACCAATGGTATTGCTCTGACTCTGTTTCAGTTGTTGTCTTGATCTGCTGGAGTTTTTTGCTTGTTGCAGATTATCGAAGCGCTACCTAGTGCTCCATCACCTGACTTGGCATTCCGATTGTACTTGCAATGTGCTGAGGTAAATCAGTTTCCCTTTGTGCGCATTAGTTTGCAACTGTCATCAGTAAAGTGCTCACATATTATTTCCTATTTCACCAGGCTGCGAATAAGTGTGATGAAGAGCCAATTGCATATGAATTTTTCACTCAAGCATACATCTTATACGAAGAAGAAATTTCGGTTGGTTATATTTCCTTGGACGAAAATGTGCTATCACTGTTTTCCTGCCTGGTGTTTAAACCAAAATAAGCGGATGAGTTTAGTCATACTCATACTCCAAAAAACTTGTCTTTTTAACAGGACTCAAAGGCCCAGGTAACCGCTTTACAACTTATAATTGGAACGCTGCAAAGAATGCACGTATTTGGTGTTGAGAATAGAGATACGTTAACACACAAGGCCACGGGGGTACTTTTCTCATGATATGTTAAACTTGTCTCTGCTAAATTCAATCGTCTCTGCTAAAATAGCTGACAAGGGACTACTTCTCCTCTTGCAGTATTCAGCGAAACTTCTAAAGAAACCAGACCAATGTCGAGCTGTTTATGCCTGCTCTCATCTGTTCTGGCTCGAAGATCATGAGACCATACAAGATGGAGAAAGGTATATTTTTTACGCGTGAGCAATAGAACACAGTGTGTATTTTACCATCTCCCCATCTTATTTTGTATACGTTTAAAATCAGGGTTCTGCGTTGTCTGAAACGAGCGCTTAAAATTGCAAATTCGGCTCAACAAATGACCAGCTCGGCTCGGGGAAGTACAGGATCTGTTACCCTCTTCATCGAGATATTAAACAAGTATACACTTTTGCTTTAACATTTTCATCTTCTCTTCCCTAGGGAGCAGCATGTCTTTGTGTAAGCCTAATGTAATAATGTATACATGTCTAGGTACCTCTATTTCTTTGAGAAAGGGATTCCACAGATCACAGTTGAATCAGTGGAGAGCATGATCCAACTGATCAGGAACGAAGAATCGTTGACATCTGACCCATCTGCCGAATCCTTCTTTGCAAGTACGCTCCGGTTCATGGAGTTCCAGAAGCAGAAAGGCGGTGCAATTGGTGACAGATACGAGCAGATCAAAGTATAAAAATATCATATTGGTAACAGGAGCTTGTTTAAAACCCAACCCCTCTTTTGGTTGGGTCTTTTGTGTTTGTGTTGATTGCTGCTCGAAATGTATACCCGGTTTAGGTCTGGTCTCGGATTTTGAAGGCGGTTCAGGGTTTGTAACTTGTGGAGTTTGCTGTGTTTATAAGAATCTTACTTCATCACTGGTGAATAATCCGAGTGCAACGTTGGGATAGTAGATGAGGTTCTCATAAAATACATGATTTGTTTTGCTGTTGAAAGAGTTCCATTTTTTTTTTGTTACCATTATAACTGTTATCATATCATTGTTTGATTAAGTTCATAATGATTACGATGGTTACGAAGAAGTTGTTATAATGCAAAACTAAGAGCCCTTACAAGTTACGACCTTTGTGAGACTTCACTTTATAGGTAAATACTCACTTCAGCATATGTGTTTTAACTATGGAAGGAAGGCATGAGTGTTGAACAAAGAAAAAGAAACAAATTAAAGAGAAGGAGAAAAGGTAAAATATAAAAGAGCAAAAGAATCGGGAAGTTGATTGGAGGAGAGAGTGTTTATGAACGCTTCAACGGCATAATTTTGCGGCCATCACATGTCTACTTCCTCTCGATACGATTCATCAACCTTCACCTTCATTCTTCTTGTTTGATCACACACTTACTTGTTCACATTTTCCGAATTTCGCTTAGGGTTTCCAACTTTAAACATAATCTTCTTAGGGTTTGTTTCTGGAGATGGCGGATTGAAAGCGATAAGTAAATTTTGGTTTTTTGTTGAAGACTGTGTTTCCTCAGGTGTAGAGAGATATCTGAGGTTTTGTGATATTCTTGTGGGAAAATGAGCGCTTCGAGGTTCATAAAGTGTGTGACCGTTGGTGACGGAGCTGTGGGTAAAACCTGTCTCCTCATTTCTTACACCAGCAACACTTTCCCTACGGTATTAGCTTCTCTACTTGAATAATGTTTTGTTCTGCTTTTGTTTATATGGATCTTTACTTTTTTTTTTTTTTTTTTTTTTTAATTTGCTGGAACAGGATTACGTTCCGACCGTTTTCGATAACTTTAGCGCTAATGTTGTTGTTAACGGAGCCACTGTCAACCTTGGCTTGTGGGATACCGCTGGTACCTTTCTTACTAGCAGCAAGCTATGCCTTACTTTTTTTTTTCTTTTATTGGTCTCTGAACTTGATTTTTGTTTGTAAAACAGGGCAGGAAGATTATAACAGATTAAGACCCCTGAGTTACCGTGGTGCTGATGTTTTCATATTAGCCTTCTCTCTCATTAGTAAGGCTAGTTATGAGAATGTATCCAAAAAGGTGCGTGCGTTCCTCTTTCTTTTTGCTTTACAAGTTTCTTGAAATGAATGTCTTCATCGGTTGTGATTTTTCTTCTGTTTGCAGTGGATCCCTGAGCTGACTCACTATGCCCCTGGTGTCCCAATTGTTCTTGTTGGCACCAAACTAGGTTTCTTCCCTTCCCTTCTTTTTTTTTTTTTTTTTTTTTTTTTTTTGCATTTGTCTTCTTGATGCATATATGGCTGCTGCTTATTACTTTTGTTCTAGGATAGTTACGGTTTAGAAGCTATTTCGGTAGTTTGGGCTATGTTATTGGTCAAATGGTTTCTTGTGTCTCACACTTTGTCGTGATAGTTAACCTGCCACCTCCATTGTAAGCAACCATCCAGTTTCTTGTTAATACCATTTTAACCTTTAGAAAAAAGGCATATACAGGATCAGCTCAGTCCGTGTAGCAGATTCTGTTTCTTACTGATGAAAACCCTTTTTTGTTTAAATGACTTTTAATCATTTGCTTATGGGTTTGTGTGTTCATCAAATGTGGCAGATCTTAGGGATGACAAACAGTTCTTCGTTGACCACCCTGGTGCTGTACCTATTACCACTGCTCAGGTAAACAACATACTTTTCAAATCGGTTTTTATTTAAAGGAAACCATCTTAACCATTCCCCACATTTTGGACAATCAAAGGGAGATGAACTAATGAAGCTAATTGGAGCTCCTGCGTACATCGAGTGCAGTTCAAAATCACAGGAGGCAAGAACTTTCCCTTTTGATGAATACTATATTAGATTGAATATGCGCTTGCTCTTTTACTTCAGCTTGAGATAGTTTTTATTTGTATGTTAATGAAAATGCAGAACGTGAAGGGAGTATTTGATGCCGCGATTAGAGTGGTACTTCAACCTCCAAAGCAGAAGAAAAAGAAGGGGAAAGTACAAAAGGCCTGCTCCATTTTGTAATCTCTCTCTCTTGTCTCTACCACTCTCTAGTGAAGTCTTAAGAAGAAGAAGAAACACATTGGGCTTAAAGATGTTTCAAGTTTGGTTGTGATAAAGCTCTCTCTTAATCCTAAAAAAGACTTGATTACTTCTGTTTTGCTGATAAATTGTTTCCAGCTTTAGCTGAGAGCCAAATCTTGCACTACTAATGCTTCTCTCTTTCTCTCAACTCGTCCTTGCATATCGTTTAGGAACAAAAGTTGACACTTGAAAAACGTTGCCGTTTCAAACAAGAACTGGTCTTCATCATATACAACAATACTTTCTGTTATTAATTGTATCAACTGTCAATACGTATTGAATATCGGTTATATCGGATCACCCATAATTAATTTCCTTTTAGCTGGTTCTGGTTATTTATCGGTTTAGTTTCAACTATCTTATTATTTAATAAGAAGACATTGTCTTGGTTCTGGTTATTTATCGGTTTAGTTTCAAGATCTTATTATATAATAAGAAAACATTGTCTCCTTTCTGAGAGTGCCGTATCACTAACTAGATTCATCAAATTATGATAGGAGATTAAGTCAATATACCTCATGCCCCTTTAAAAAATTTTTGTGTATCTTCTTATATTATAATATAATTTCTTTTTCATTATTTTTCGAAACAATTACACTCTAAGGCAGTTTTGTGTTTTTTATATCAAGAAAAGACACTTTCTTCTATTAAAGTACTTTATCTTAACAATTTCCTCTTCTAGTTCTATTTTCTAACTGTTTGTTTACTAACTACTCTTCCTAATAAACAAGACAAATAAAGTGGGTCCCATATATTTTTTTTTCATTTTTCTGAGTTTTCTACCTTTTCCTGTAAATGAATTATATTGTTCTAGAATTTTTTTATTTAAAAAACATGTATTTAATTAGTATCTTCAGTATTTAATCTATCTTTTAAGATATGTTAAGATATATTTATGAAGATTATATAATTGTGATGTATATGACGTTAACAATGTGATCGTTTAAAGCTTCAACGATGACGTTTATATTTTCTCGCGTCTCCTTACTCTACTCTTGCTTCAAAACCGTTGTCACTGTCGTGCTTTTCATTGTCACATTCACCACTTGTGAGAAGCTTGATAACAACAATGGCCAACTTTGAACTAATGTACATGTGATTTTTTATAAAATCATTAGATATCATAACTTCCTTTGTAGATGGATTTGTGAGCATTAATGCTTTGTTTTTGTTCAAGAACCAGAAAAAATTAGAGTGGACAGAAGATACATTTCCCTTGTTGGAGAAACAATGTATAGCGTTTATGTATTATTGTACAAATTTTGTGTACATGTAAATCATTGTACATGTAGATATATTTTGACATTAAAATGTAGGAAGGTTGTTTACTTTACTCGTGTACACGAACAAAAGTACATGTGGTCACCCAATATACTCGTGTACACTAACATTAAGATACATGGACAGGTTATCTCGTGTACACGTGTACGTCGAAAGTGAACCAAGATATCGAAAATGTACACATTATTAACTTTTTAGTGAGTGGCATTTTTAGTAAATATATCGTCTGTCTTTCCCAGATTTTAGGGTATTCTGCAAAATCATTAGATATCATAAATTCCTTTGTAGATGGATTTGTGAGCATCAATGTTTTGTTTTGATTCAAGAACTAAAAAAAAAAAATCAGAGTGGGCAGAATATACATTTCCCTTTGTTGGAGAAACAATGTATAGCGTTTATGTATTATTGTACAAATTTTGTGTACATGTAAATTATTGTACATGTAGATGTATTTTGACATTAAAACGTATGAAGGTTGTTCATTTTACTCATGTACAACTACAAAACTACTTACACAACTTATGTACACATCCACATCATCTACATTATGTACAAATTCTTGTGGTCATCCAATATACTCGTGTATACTAACATTAAGATACATGGACAGGTTATCTCGTGTACACGTGTATGTTGAAAGTGTACACATTTTTAAATTTTTAGTGAGTGGCATTTTAGTAAATATATCTTCTTCTTTCCCAGTTTTTTAGAGTTTTCTGCAACTATTTTTGTGGCCGTCATTGATTTCTTTCTCATAATCTTCTATTTGTTTTTACATTTTAATTATAGGTTACACTTCAAGATCGTAACTTTATCATTTATAAATAAATTTTCATCTTCAGATTTGAAAAAAAAAAATGTGAGTTTTCTGTGAGATTTGGCCATTGTTGTTTGAGCTTCATTGTGCAATTGAAAAACCGCCACCATAGTGGGATTTCGAGCATTAATCACCACGAGCTTGAGATCGTGTTCTTCATTTTGTCTTCCAAATTTGGAAATTGTTGTTTGAGATCGTGTTCTTTATTTTGTTTTTCAGATTTTTTTTTTTAATTTCTCAGAATTTCTCATTTTGTTCTTCAACATCTTGTTCAAGTGAAGATCTATCAACTTCTTCATTTTGTTATTCTTTTACCATTAAGATTATTGTTTCCAGATTTTCTATTAATTTATTTTTTTATCATTATAATTATTTCTCTGTTAAAGAGGGAAGAAAAATGAGATTGAAATTATGGGTCCATTTAATTAGAAGAGTAAACGTAATTGACTTGTAGTTGTAAAAAACTACCTTAGGAACAATAACTGACTTATCTTGTAATAAAAATCTTAAAACTGCCTTAGGATGAAAATAACTCTTATTTTTCAGTAAAAAAAGTGGATAAAGACAACTTAACCTTTTGAAAAATCAAATAATTACAAGATCTAACCTAAAAATCCAAGTCACCCAACCCATAAATCTGACCTAACTTAAAGCTAAACGACGCGACTCCTTTCCCAACCCAAACTTCAACAAAGCTCTTCGACTTCTTTCTCTCATTTCCTTGTCTCCGACTCTCTTTCTCTTGTGAAACTGAAATTCTAGAGTCTCCACATTCGTTCCTTGTTCATCCTCCATCTAAATCGAGAATCCATCAATCCCTTCCTCTCATTTCTCGTGTCTCAACTCTCTCTGTCTCTCTTTGCGATTTAAAACCTCTCAAAAACCCTTAAAGTCGAGAACCACTTCGTTTCTTCTTCATTCTCAGTCAAAATCGAGGCTTTATCTTCATTCCTTGTGGTAAGTGATTAGTTACCCTTTATTTGATCGATTTTGTAAATAGATATGGAAATAAATTTGGGGAAAACTTAAGATATATCTGAAGAAAGTGAATATTGACTTTGAAATTGGATAAAAGCTTGTTAAATCTTATGTTTAGGTATATGTTGCAGTGAGATCATTTAGGACCGAAGACTGATGCATTTTTTGTGTGTTTCTGATTTGAGTGATAAGTTGTATTAAATTATTGTTAACAAAATTGATTTAGGAAAAAGAATTGTGTTGTTGATGAAACTTAATTGATGTAGTGTTGTTGTTTATGGGTTTGAAATTGGAGTGATTGAGTGGTTGTGTTTGTATGGTTTTTTACAGGAAAGTTATGAAGGGAAATCAGAGGTGTCGTCAATCTTCTAGAACAAAATACGGTCTCAAATGAAAAAGAGCCGGTAGTTCATAAGAATAGTACACCAGTGAGAGAACCAATTCTAGCATTGCTCGATCTCAGTCTCAAATGGGTCCAAAAGTGAAGACATGTCTGCTAAATGCTTACCAGAAATTACTAGTACTTCTACGAAAAACTATTTGTCGAAAAACTATGAAATATTTGTTTTAATGCATATTTTTTATGTCTAAGGTATATATTTTGTATTCAATGTTATTGTTAGTGAGAAATGCTTACCAGAAATTACTAGTACATCTAGTACTACTAGTATTACTCACATTACTAATACTACTAGCACTATTAACATGTGTATATGTATTTTGATTGCATGAAAGGAAACTGTTGGGGTCAAAATCGGTACGACGGAATTCATAGCCAAAACTCCCCGCAAAAATACAAAAGGAATCGTTTTATAAAACCCGAGGAGTCGTTTTATAAAACTCAAAGTCATTTATAAAAATCGCAGACCGTTTTATAAAAATCGAGAAGCCGTTTTATAAAACCCGAAGATCGTTTTATAAAACTCGAGAAATCGTTTTATAAAACTCAAAGATCGTTTTATAAAACTCGAGAATCGTTTTATAAAACTCGAGAAGCCGTTTTATAAAACCCGAAGATCGTTTTATAAAACTCAAAGAATCGTTTTATAAAACTCGAGAATCGTTTTATAAAACTCGAGAAGCCGTTTTATAAAACTCGAGAAGCCGTTTTATAAAGCCCAAAGATCGTTTTATAAAACTCGAAGATCGTTTTACAAAACTTAAAGATCGTTTTATAAAACTCGAGAAGCCGTTTTATAAAACCCGAAGATCGTTTTATAAAACTCGAAGATCGTTTTATAAAACTCGAAGATCGTTTTATAAAACTCGAGAATCGTTTTACGAAACCGCAAAAAACCGAAACAGCCGTAAAACGCGAACTAGTCACGACTAGTTCGCCCACGGGCGAACAAAGCCGGTGGGTGAACTAGTCCCATCCCGACTAGTTCGCCCACAGGCGAACTAAGCCAGCCGACTTAGTTCGTCGTTGGACGAACTAGAGACTTCCTGGACGTCCCGAGCCTCGGTCTCCCGCATTCCCGATTTGAAACTTACGTCTTTCGACACGGTCACATTCTGAACCACGGCCGAAACATCTCCCGTTCCATCTTGATCCGACCTATCGTTCGAGTTTTACAATAAAACCCGTAAAACTTCGCTTTCTCGATAAAGAACTCGAAGAAATCGTATAAAACGGCGACGGTTAAACGAAACACCGAACATTGCCTAAAACATACAATTTATTCGAGATTTCTTGTTGAAATCATAAAAAAACGTGTTTTTAATAAAAACGTCAAGTAAATCGTAAAAAACGCGTTTTTAATTAAAAAGTCGAGTAAATCGTAAAACCTTACGATTAGCTCGAGGAATTTATTAAAAACGACATCAGATCAGGAAACGATCCCGTAAAAGTCGGAAAACGGATTTATCGCAAAACGGCCCGGAAGGTCCTAAAACGCAATAAAAACCCATCTCGCGATCTTAACGGAATCTAACCCGAAGATTCGATAACGTTTTGACGATTTACTCGCAGAAGGAAAATAAATGTCAAGTTTGAAGATAAAAGGAAGGTTTGAAGAAAAATAGAAGATT